AAGATGAGGGAGGCGGCTGAATAAGCATTGGTCAGAGATGCTGGGGTGATTGACAGTTTCATTGATTATCTTCACAGTAAAAGCTTGGGTGGCCGTTGAAACTGGGTTTTGTTTTTTGTTTTTTTAGTGCCCTGGGTCAGATTAAACTGAACATTCCTGTTTTCATTGCTGCTAAATTCTTAAGGCATTTAATCCAATATAAGTGGCAGTGTAGGGCAGCAATACAGTAGGGCCTTTAGATTATTCCCAGAGAGAATGCAACTACCTTCCACTGAATAGTTAAGATGGTTTTGCATCTTTCCAGCCCAATAATGGAGACCCTTTTCTCTTGTGTAGAGAATCTACATTGGTATGGAGTAGGAGAAAGGGAGCAATCATTTGAGAAAATTGAGAGCAAATACAATGTCCACTTACATAGGATATAAACATGGAGAAGGGTGTGTATTTTGATCATGTTGATCCCGACCATTTCTGTGGAAAGGAATGGGTCTCTTAATATTCTTAAGACAGCAAAGTCCTCCAGAAGTTCTTTCTGCCTTTAACACAGTTTCTTTCTTAACACTGTAATGCACATGCAAGGTGACTTGATATCTCACAGAATTCAGAGGAAATAAATCCTTCCTGTGAAGCACTGTAAAAATAAAAGAAATTATCTGACATTAATAAAATGGGTTAGTCACAGAATATTTATTCAGACAGAAATAACAGTCTTCGCATGTATGTTGTAGCTGTAAGATAACCATTTCAGATTCTCAAGCATCTTGAAGTCAGGTGTTGACAATGAAGGACTGTTCTTCACTATCTTAGCAAGTAGAGCAGTGCACTTTTAGTGCAATGTGTATTCTATATTTTGCACTATTAAAAACCCAAATGATGCCAAGGAAACTTTTAAACTGTTCACCACAAGTTAATTTAGAAACTTTGTTGAACTTTTAAAGCCTAGGCTTTTAATTAACCCATTTCACCTTACAAATTAGGAATGGGATCATAAAAAAAGTATAGATATGGTTATATAGGCTGCAGAGGAAGCCAAATAGAAGAATGAAAAGACACAATCTGGCTCCTGAATCTGTATCAGACTATGCTGTATTAAGAAAACTGTTCAGCAGCTCTTAGGACTGCAGAGTTCAGAATTAGAGAGTTAGTTTTCTTAAGCTGTGGATATCAGAATACTCAATTCTATACTAACAGTGAAAGTGCTGTTAGGAGTCTCTGTACATTATATATGTAGGGGTTGGAAGTGCCTCACAGTAGAAGTACTATCCGGCAGAGGATTTATTATGCATCCATCAATATTTCATCACACACCAATCATGTTAGTCCAGATGGATGAATGGGAATCAGCATAGTCCTTTTTTTGTGAATTGAAGAGGATGGGGATAATGATTTGTGACATGTGATTTTCAAAAATGTCTTTTTGAAGAACCCCATAAGTCTTCTTTCCTGGAGCACTAGCAGTATAGAAGCCTCATGGCAAATGAAGAAAAACTGTGTGTCAATCGTAGATTTCTTTGAACAGGTCATCCTTGTCTTTTCTCATCAACTGAACTGTGGCCACTCACTGCTCCAGTCCTTGCATTTGTTGCAAATATATCCCAGACTGGTTTCAGGCAGAAAGACAAATTTACTACAAGCGTTGCAGGTTATAGTTGCAGGCTCCTGTAAGTTCATCTTCACTTTTTCTTAGAGTACTGCCTATGGAAAGGCTTTTTTTAAACCTCCCTCAGGCTCTTAGATTAGCCAAGTAAAAGCTTTTGACTTAGAGGAACAAATTCTTAGAGATTCCTCTTAAACCTCCTAGGCAAACTTTAGCTCTCTCCGTTCATTCACTTGGTGAGCTCACTCCCTTGAACAGGCTGCCTTATAAGGTGTTGTGCAATAGAAAATGTTAACTTTTCCCCTCTTCCTAAACAAGATGGCTTAAAGAGATGCTTATTATAGAGTATTTTGCTAAGACAAGAATCTCTGAACAAAGAGGGAATATCAGATCTGGTTCAGACATTATGGTAAACAGTGTTTATAATTACTTACATGAGCCTAGGGTTTGCAGACTCCCTCTCGCGCTACTTGCAAATAATTCGGGTTCCTGTTATGTCTGAAACTAGAAAAACCGATTAGGGAAACAATCTAGAATAGTAAGCCGTAGTTTGGTGTTGTTAACTTTCCCTAAGCTATAGTTAAGAATGATAAGTTTTTCCACATTCGAGAACAGAGTAACTGCAGCCAGTTGAAGCTGTTAGGAAAAGTTCTCGGTCTCTTTTTCATGACAGCACTACAACTTAAATGGAGAGCTCACAAGGCTGATGCTGAAGCATCTAAAGCCAGCAAGTTCTTGTTGGATCCAAGGAATTTGTCTTCCCTTCTTGCTGGCTTACTGTGAAATGATTCTGGAGGATATAGAAAGAATCGCTTTAGAATAGAAGTTAGGAACTGGAATACTTGGAATGTTTCAACATCTTGATTCCCAGGCTGGATTTTGATTCTTTTGACACTGAAACTAGCCAATAACAGATAGCCCTGTGTTTAGTTTGTGACGGTATGTTTCAGAATGAAGATAAAGTAGAAGCTATTTAAGATTGTAATATTTATAGTTTTATATATATTGTGTCTGATTTTTAAAAAGCCATGAAGTTCATTCACATTAATAACCCTTGAAATGAAAGCATTTGGTTGAAGCAGGATTAAGAATGAGTGTTTATATACTGTAGTGCTTAATGGTTGTAGAAAGTTCTTCCCAAGCATTTCTGTGATGCAGACAAAACTCCAGTATATTAAGTTAGTGTTGCTTGACCTATTCAAGGTTAGTTCTGAAAGACTCAGGTTAGTTCTTAACATGGGAGATACCCACCTCCATCTTTATCTTGAAGGTGCTCCTTGATCTGTAGCTCCTGCTTAAAGAGCAGGTGGAAGCCATGGCCAGGGAGCTTTTACCCAGCTGTGGCTAGTGCAACAGTTACAGCCCTATCTGGACCAAGACACCCCAACAGTGGTGGTTCATGCCCTGTTCATCACCCACCTGGACTACTGCAATGCATTCTGAATGGAGTTGCCTTTGAAGACAGTGTCTGGAAGCTACAATATGTGGCAATTAGACTCATGACAGACTTAGTCTTGTCAAGTGAGAATGTCTGTTTTGAAGTTGCTGCATTGGTTTCCATGCAGTAGGCTTCTGGGCCCAATTCAAAGTGCTGGTTGTCACCTTTGAAGCCCTTATGGCTTAGAACCAGAATACATTGGGCAGCACCTCGCCCAAATCAGATTTCCATATCTGGTCATGGTTTGTTACAGATCCTCCTCCTCATGAGATTAATGGGGTATCTAGGCTTTTAAGTAGGAGCTTCTGTTTTATGAAATGTTTTTCTCCCTGGAGGTATAATGGATACGCCTTCTCTATATGTTTGTTGAAAACAGGCCAAAGCAGGACTGTTCCAATTAAGTGAATGGCACATTTGATGTGCTAAGTTTTTTATTGTTAATTTCTATCATTTATATATGTTTTTAATGTATATTTTTGACATTGTTGTGCCCCACCCAGAATCCATTAGTTTGAGGGCAGGACAAGTTACCAACATTGTGAGGATAAATAAATAAACAAACAAACAATATTCTATACAAGTAATTGCACAGAGAGTAAATCACAAGTGGGAGGAGATTTGTGCATGATTGAATATATATCTGTATGTGATGCGAACCGATATATTGTAATATAACGGAAAACGGGGAAAAGATTGACATTTGGGGATTAATAAACACTAACACATGTCTCCAGCCCAATTTCAGAGGGCTGTTGCCTGCACCCATCCTTTTTACTGTATGATGTTAACAACTGCATGACACTCAGTATAGCCATTACCACTGTTCTACCATCTCAATAAGGTGGTGACTGTCCTGTCACCTGGTTGGAAGGGCCTTTACCTCAACAGATATTTCTGTCTGTTATGTCAAGGAAGTAAGTCAATGAGGAGACCTGTGACGTTGGAGTTACTGTGGTGACCATGGCACAGTGTAGGGTTTTGTGTATCTTGTTCTCAGTCTGAGTTATTGTCCACTTTTCTGTGCCAGATAAGGCATGGCCTTTGTTCCTTTCTGAGAGCTGTGAAAGGAAACGTGTTTTCCTCATTATTGCAACTCTGAGAAAAGCTGCAGGGATTGAACCTTCTAAAGAACTTTTCAGAGTATACTTCCATATACAATATGGGAAACTGCAGGGGGAGATTAAAAAATGAAGAGTCCCCAGGTGGGTATCTCTCTCACACACACAGCCTCCATGTGCTTTTTCCTCTTGGCAGCACTAGCCACGTTAGTGTGTGGTTGCAGTAGGATTTAAAGTACAAATTGTGATTTGGGGGGAAAGGGGTGAGCTGATTAGCACTGTACTGTGTTGAGAGAGATTTACACCTTCCATTCATATCGCAGTTCTGAGGAAAACTGAGAGTTTGTGTGGCATGGTGATTAAGAGTGTTGGACCTAACTGGAGAAGCCCAGGTTCAAATCCTGACTTGGCCATACGATTCATTGTCACTCAGCTGGTCACTCTCTCATAGGGTTATTGTGAGGTTAAAATTGGAGGCAGGGGGAGAAGTACACACCAGTTTGAGTTCCTTTTAACTCTATTTTTATCTCACCTTATTTGCTTCTCCTGGAGAATTTCTATGTGGTCACTAAGAGTGAATACTGACTTGATGACCCATAATTATTTAGCTCAGGGTGACTCTTCTTACTGTTCTTCCAAATGAATAGAGAGAGGTTAATAATCCCCTACCCATATTCCATAATCTTGAATATGTGCAAAATAAGCATCT